TTTGCTTTTATATGTTTTTGTTTTTACTCTCAAAGTGCCGTTAGCTGTTCGCCTGAGTTTTATAAAGCAAGAACAGTTGCAGCTAATGTACAAATATTTCATTGACTTTTTTTTTTATGTTTAATATTTTAATGTTTTATTGCAAAATAAAGTCAACTTGAATGCCGTGAAAGTGTGAATAAATAATACGTTTTGCTTAAACTATCCCTTTAATTAAAATATTCACAAAATTGAATGTCCTGTGGAAATTTTAAGCGAAATTATTTGAGCAAAAATGTAACGGAAAATTTTTTTTGTTTAAAACTGTTATTGTCATTCAGACTTAACTTGTCCTACTTAAAGTTATAGTTAAATTTAAAGTTAAACTTATACATAAAGTGTATTACCTAAAGTTCGAGAGTAGGCCAAGTTTCTTGCATAACACTACATATTAAATTGCATCCTGAAGCTTCAAGCTTCCTAAAATCTGAAATCCAGTCGGAATACTGAAAGACGAACATTCATTCATTGCTACTTTATTCTCGAGGACTTCCTTGAAGCTCAAGAAAACTTTGTGAAAACTGAAACATTCGAGAACCTGCACGGAATGTTAACCGTAACAGGAAATTCCAAGACTGGTATTTTCTCAATTTGTGTGTGCTAGTGAACTCCGGGAATCAAAACAGTGGAAATGGGCCAAAGAGCCTTCAATTCTTTCACCCCCAAAAAATTCTTGAATATTCTTATTTACTCCCTTTTTGTGTGTTTTGCTCAGTGTTATTGGAAACACTTGACATTTCTAATAGCCAGAATACGAGAAACGTCAAACCCCCAAAGGCCGAATGTCTTTTGGGAAGTTTAAGAGCTGCTCGTCAAGTGAGACGATCCAGGTGCACCAATAATGCACCATTGTGTTTTACCAGAGCAAGGTGAGTATGTTAAATGCGACACACATGTACATGTTGAAGGTCTGGATGGGGTCATTTGGATCATGTAGGTAACAGGATCCTCCAAAGCCTTGATTGGATTCGAGGGGACCCTGAACGTATTGACAGCTGGCTGGGGAAAGTTGGCGAGAATTGCACAGAACAGGGTATTGATTTAAATCAGCGCGCAGACTAATCGGGCCTCGATCTTCTCGTGAAGGACTCTAGACCCGAGTTGGATTTTTTGGCGTGTATTTAATCAGCTGGGCCGGGAAACAAGGGCTCTCCAGCGAGTAATGCTGCCCTTGGGGATGTTGCGGTGCGCTGACGGACACTCTCTCCACCAGGACCGTCAGGCAGAGAGGTATGCTGGGAAATGTAAACCAGATGGCCGCGATGTTGTCACACAAATGTGTTTTTCCATCAGCCGTTGGGATTATCGTTTTTCAGGCTTTGTTTTGTCCAGTTTCAGGGGAACTGACATTGTTATTGCCTCCTATTGCAGGGGATTTGCCTGGAATTGGTCCCAGGTTGGTGCAAATGACGTAGCGGACGTTATGGGGAGTATCGGTACAAAGAGGTTTGGACAAGCTCTACTGATAGCAGAAAAAAGGCACAGTATCTATTTCTTGAAGGAATTCCCTTCAAGTCCAGCAGGTGGCAAACTCTTCCCACAACATTCCTAAGCTTTTGAAGGAACTCCGCGTATGGCAAGCCATTTTAACAAGTAGTCTAAGTCAATTGTTTATGCCACTAGTGATATTTTAAGATGATAGCATCTTTTCTGCAATGCGATTGTTGTTTTTATTAGCTACTCTTGCGTATTTATTAGCTACGGTGCCTTCTTAAAGATACAAGTATTATTCATTAGACCCTACACTGTAAAAATGATGTTACTTCAACTTAGTTTAATAAGTCAATGAGTTTAACTTAATATTTTTACTCAGTTTGACTCATTAAAGTTCAGATGACTAGAAGATTTTATTTAATTCAACTACTTTTTTTTTACAGTTTAGTGTTTTCTTATTAGATATTAGTACATAATCATTATATATGTGAGTTATTAATAATTAGGTACTTGTGGCCATTCATACTATTACCTTTTAAATAGGGACTAAGTTTACAGATTTACTACAATCACTTGGGATAAAGCAAAATGTTGTTGGTCCAACCCATCACTTAAAGCATACATTAGATATAATTAAGTCTCATGGAATTGAGGTCATTGATGTAGACATTATACCACAAAGTGATGATATTACAGACCACTACCTCTTACTATATAAGCTGTGTTTACCTGAAACTAGCAGATCTGCACAGATACCGCCCTGGTAAAACTATCGTCCTTTCCACTAAAAATGAACTTACAAATAACCTACTTGATCTTTCTTTATTTCAAAATGCACCCGCAAATGACCCTGATGTTGTAACCAGCAGTATGGATGCTATCTTTACTAAAACTCTAAATACTGTAGCACCCATCAAATTAAAAAAGGCTCGAGAGAATAAAACTACACCATGGCATAACAGTCATACCATGAGCTCTCAAAACAGCAACTCGTGCCCTGGAACATTACTGAAAAAATAAGTAAATTAGAGGTCTTTTAAATTGCGTACAAAGACAGTATATCCAGCTATAGGAGGACTCTAAAATCCATCAGCGCTGAGCACCTCTGCAAACGGATAGAAAATAATCAGAACAATGCTAGATTTTTATTTAACACCACTGCTAAGTTAACAAATAATCAGTAATCTTTGGAACAAAATTAGTACTGCAAATTAGTAGTGATGACTTCATGAATTTTTCACCCTTTCAGACGCAACCCAGTACTGGGAAACACCCATACACACATTCACACACATAGGCAACGGCAAATTTAGCTTATTCAATTCACTTATACCGCATGTCTTTGGACTTTGGGGGAAAGCAGATCACCAGGACGAAACAAACACGAGGAGAACATGCAAACTTCACACAGAAATGCCAACTGGCCCAGCCGGGACTCAAACCAGTGACCTTCTTGCTGTGAGGCGACAGTGCTAGTATTTATTGGTTAGATTAGACACAGAATATTTTGTAATTGGTCTTACTAGTGACAAAAATCATCCTATTCACAACTGCTTCTTAATTTGTAACACTTGAAAGTAACGCTGGGTAAAGTTACTTTAAAAGTAACATATTACAAACTTAATCTTTAAAAAACAGAGAAATAACAACACATACTTTCACATTACTTAAAAAGTCACACATTTAGTTACCTTTGTGTTTTAAGTGACTCAAAATTTGTATATATTACTTTAAATGTTTCCCAACGCTGTTCATAAGCAGTCAGAATCAGTAGAGTTTAAATACAAATCCTAATAGTAACATAAAAGATCATAGTAGGGACAAAGTAGCTATCTAGTCTCTATTGAATAAGCTGTATTTAATAGCTATGTGTACTAGTTTCATGCAAGTAGACATGTATATGTTTAAGTTAAACGTTGGCTCATTGGTTAGCACTTTGCCTCACAGCAAAAACTGGTTTGAGTCCCGGCTGGGTCAGTTGGGAGATTCTGTGTGGAGTTTGCATGTTCTACTTGTGTTGGTGTGGGTTTCGTACAGGTGCTCCGGTTTCCCCCACAGTCCAAAGACATGCGATACAGGTGAATTAAAAAAACTAAATTGTCTGTAGTATATGTGTGTGAATGAGTATGTATGGATGTTTCCCAGTACTGGGTTGCAACTGGAAGGGCATCTGCTGTGTAAAACATCGAAATAGTTGGTAGTTCATGCCACAGTGGCAACCCCTTATAAATAAAGGGACTAAATGAATGAATGAATGAGGTTAAATGTTAAAACAGCTTGCCATAATATGCATCATCAGTCAGAAAACGTGCCTTTACTGAAAGTACCTAAAAGCACAATGTTACAGGGTGAGGTTATTTGATGTTTCTTTCACCCTTAGAATCTCCTAATTGTCATTATTTACCACATGATGATTGAGTAAACCATGTATTTATATATTTTTCTCTTGTTCCCAGACCTGAAAGTGAACATCAATTGGTTTCTATGGTTGGGCACTTCATTTTTATAAAAGACTCATCATTTATAGCTCGTATTTTAAAAGGTTTCAATGCCCGCATTGAGGAATACCCTCAAGATAGTAATAATATCATCACTTCTGCTTCCAAGAACGTAAAACGGTGTTGATTTTATCTATGCGTATGAAATCTGAGAGTTTTATGGCTTGAAGCCAGGCAATTAACATAATCCTAACTGCATCACTAGTTTCATTAGTGTTTTGTATGTAGGTTAAAACCATTTCCTAGGTGAATAGTGTCAAGTCTCCGCTATCTCACATTTGCAGTGGACAGTTGAGGTTTATCAGAGGATTAGCCGATTGGTATAAGCTGAAATGACACACATTAATGATTTAACAAGTCTGAAAAGTGATCTGAGACTAACCTGAAAGTGATATGAAAATGTTTTTCTTACTCCACAAAGTAAACCATCCATTGACACAGTTTTAGTTCCTCATGGCCTCAAAATAGACCATGCGGTGAATACCTTTCAAACAAGTGAACGGTATAATATTTCCATGCCACCGCGCAGGGCCCAGAAAAACACAAAGGTGTAAGAGTATTATCATATGAAATGAAGAGGAGTTCTGACGCCATTATTGGATGGGATTTCTGACCTGAATGCACCAACTTGATGCACCTCGAGGACGGTCTTTTGTTTAATCGAGAACATTTCATGCAAACCTAGCATTTACATAAAGAGTTTGGTGGCAAACAGCCTTGAGCTCTTGATATGTCTGTTTATCTGCTCGACTTTAAAGTGCCTGAATTCTCACCCCAACAGTAAAGAGCCTTCAGATATCCCACAATCTTCCGTTGTTTTTCCAAAAGCCACTCTCTCTTTAACTGTGGTGTAGCCCTCTGCCCAGACATGGCTATATTGAGTCTCGACAATTATGTAAATGCAATGTTTGTATTTATAGGTCTAAGCCACAGCTTTCTGGCATGGCAAAGTTGCAGCTGGGAAAGATTGCAGTTTCCCTCAAGACCCATAACATGGGGGACAGGATTATAAAGACATAGACACAAACGTTTATATCGCAATTTAAGTTTAATATGTACAATATATACAGTGTATAAATTATGTACATAAAATGCTTTGGTCCAGAACAACTCACATAGCCCTTATCATGTCATCCAAACATGGGACAGTCTGCAATTCAACGTTAACAGCATACAAATTGCGTTTAAAAAAAACGAAACCATGAGACCCTGATTTTTAAAAATAAAAACGTTTATGTCGATAAATGCACAAATTACTTAAAACATTCAGTTAACGCCCCTTTTGTTAACTTTTAAGGCAGTTTTGAAAGAGGAAAACATTGTCTTACAAAGCTTATTTAGTTTCTTGACACAATAGCATACATTTGTCGTTAAAAAAAACGCCAGTATTCGTGGCACTCGTGAGATGTATACGCATATTAAAAGGCACTGTCGTGATGTCCGCAGCACATCATGTTAACTTAAAGCACATTATACTGTCTGATTCCAGTTCCGTCTTGAGGTTTAGGTCCAGCCTATAGTATGAGTTGAACTTGCTCTTTGGAAACGAAAAATATAGTTTGTTTCTGTAAATTCTGTAAAGAATTGAAGTGTAGAACCAGCTACAAGCAATAGGTCAAGTCAGTTCATGTTTCCCCTTCACCATACTTTAAATAAGAGGGGGGGGGGTACAGACAATGTTCACTGTTCAGTGCGTTTAGTCCACATTTTCCAGAGTCCGTTCCTACATATGACGTTTCATATGAAGGGCGAGATGGTCGGACCTGGAGAAGGCACGTTCGCACAGGTGGCACTGGAAGGGTCGGTGTCCGGTGTGCTTGCGGAAGTGACGGGTCAATTCATCAGAACGGGCGAACTTCCACCCACAGCCTTCCCAACTGCAATGATAGGGCTTCTCGCCTATGAAAGAAGAGAGGATTCATTAAAATCTGTCCAGTTTTAGATTAATTATAACTTAATTATGATAGATCTTACGAAAAAACAAAACAAGTGACGTTTATTTACCTGTGTGTGTTCTGTGATGAGCCTTCAAGTGAGAACTTTTTGTGTAAGTTTTGCCACATCCAGAAAAAGTGCAAGTGTGAGTCGCCGTGCGTTTCCTCGGCCACGTGCGGCGCCCCCTCTTTGGTTTGGCGTCCAGCTCTAGAGGAGATGAGGGTGGTGTCAGAAGTACTCTTTGGTTGGCGTTGGGCATTGCAAGCCCATCGTCGCACATGCTGAAGTGATGTGTGCTTTGGTAAGGCAGCTGCATCTGTGGAGGTGCTGCGTGGGGAAATCCTGTGTTGCCTTGATAGCTCTGGCTGAACGTTAAGGCATGGCACATCTGCGAGTGTGACTGACAGTCTGTGTTGATGAGCTCCGCAGGGCTCTGTGGGGGAGTCATGCTGCCTGCTCCCTGGGGAGAGTTGGCTAGTCTTGGCTGCTCATAGGATCTCATGCATGCACCGTTGCCCTCTTGTTTGACTTTGGGAACCATTCCTCGTACAGGTCCGTAACTATCCATGCAGGGCTCCACTTTGATACACTCCGAAATGTCCTGAGTGGGGAAAGCAGGCCTGACTAGGAATCTTCCCTGGAGAGACGGTTGGCAGTAGGTGTCAATGTCAGACTGCAGAAGCTCTGCCATGAGGCTGGTGGTGTATGGTGGAGGTGGTGATGGGTTGATCTCAGGCACCGAGTATGTAGTCGGGTTGTACATGTTTCTGGACTCTTGCATTCTGTAGTCGCCTGCCATGCCGAGTCCGAGATTGTCAGAACCTGCAGTGTTGGCCAGTATAAACTCCAGATCCAGGTACTTGTCAAGATCTTCGTCGTCTGTTATTCTGTTGAGGTTGTCCATGTTAGATAGGTCAGCTATGCAGCTGAGATGCATGGACCTGTCCAGTTCATCCTTCCACCTCTGCAATGAAACAGGTTGATTTCGATTAGTTTTGATTTTAAACATTTTAAGAGCACAAAAAAGTTAATAGTATGCTTTATAAATGTGTTTGCAGTACACAAATAGGCTACTATTCGAAATAAAACACTGTTTTAGCTTATATTGTAATGTGTTAATAGAATATAGATTGAAAAAAGTATTGGTTTATCGATCGAGTGGCTGTTGCTATAGTTACAAACTCGCTATTTAGTTAAAAACATAAACAAACATTCCTCACGCTGGCTAACTTTATTCAAGTTAGCTAACTTGTTTTAAAAAAAGAAAAACGTTTGTAGAAATTACAGCGTAAATATGAACAAAAGCAGATTTAATATAGCATGAAACCACTTAGACATAACAATGACGTGAAAATAAATAAATAGAAAACAATACTCACGTTCTCCCAGCATTTTTCCTTCTGCGCCGAAAATGTGGAAATAGACGGTAAAATCGTTCCACTCAAAGCCATTTCCAGTCGTCCCAGTTAAGGTAAAACAAACTTTAAAGATCGGGGATTTGTTGCAATCCCTCGGAGAAACTTTGGTTGTAGTGCACTACAACTCTGCTCTGCTCTTTACACTATGTTTAACACTCATGCAGAAAGTATGAGTGGTGGAAGACCTTTATCTTATAAATATCACGGCAGCGCAAGCTGGACCAATTATAAGAAGCGGAGGAAATACGCACTATCCGTCCCTAATTTTAGCCCCGGTATATAGCTGCTGCTCTCCGGCGTGTGCGCCTTTCGTCTTGGATGTTGAGAGCGCACGGGCTCTTCTTTAAATCACCGAGTCACTCCACGCCCCCTCGGTAAAACGAGTTAAACGAGTACAACATGATGCGAGAGAAATCCCTCCTCTCTCTCTCTATCTCCCTCTCCCTCTCTGATTCTCTCTCCCTCTCTTGTCTTTGCAAAAAAAAAAAAAAAAAAAAAACTCGAATGGGAGAAAAACACACACTATTAACACGTTGTTCAAAGATGAAAAGTGTCGATACCAGCAGCTGTGAGCACTCGAGACTCGTGCAACAAAGGGGATTACTGCATTTTAATAACGTAGAATGTGCTGGTGTAGTAAGATAACAGATTATGCATTTGGTCTAGAGTAAAACTTGAGTTATTCCAGTTTATCATGCACTGTAAGAAAATATTAGTTGCCTTAAATTGTTAAGCTGAATCAAATTAACCTTGTGAGTCCATTGAACTATGTTACTCCCATAACTTAAAACATGATTAACTTAGTTTCATAAGTCATGACTAATTGATCATATTATTTTTACAGTGTGCTTGTATTTTACTCCACACATTTACAAGTAAAAAATCAACAAAAAGTTAATGAAAGCATGATATTTTTCTCAGCTTTTTCAGTGTTTTAAAAATACTTTATTTAAGATTATATAATAATCAAACATTGTGAGAAATCAACATTTTAGTTTGATGACTTATCAAGGGATCTCTTCAACATTTCTTAATATATATATATTTCTATTGATTATTGCTGTAATGCAAACAGGTTGAAATCTGCAGTTTGACCACTAAAATTATGATTTTTGTAAATTTTTTTAAATTTTTTTCACTTTCAGAGTAAGTAAAGTAATTTTACTGACATTTAGTAAGAATATGTTATTGAAATATGTAAATTACAGCATAAAAACCGGTTAATTTGCTGCTAGTATTTAATTCAGTTTTAATATGAATTTATATTTCTCTTTTCCTTTTTTATATAGCATTTTATTCAATATATAGTTTCAAATGACTAAAAATGTCACTGTTAAACTAATTATTTTTTAATCATTAAAGGTTGTTGAAGTTGAGATAAAATCTTCATAATGCATTTTAAAGACACTAGTAAATCAGAAAAATATGTGAAGCTTTTTCTTTTTTACAGTGATATAATTATGTTCTTTCATGCAAAGTAGAATAAAACAGTTCTGGTTATGTGCCTATGTGTACAGTGGCATGTACAAATGTTTACATGAAGTCAACAAAATCTGCCTTTATATACAGTTGAAGTCAGAATTATTAGCCTCCCTGTTTATTTCCCCCCTAATTCCCGTTTAACGGCGAGATTATTTTATCAACACATTCTAAACATAATAGTTTGTTCTGTGGACTATCGAAAATATGGCTTAAAGGGGCTAATAATTTTGACCTTAAAATGGTGTTAAAAAATTAAAAACTGCTTTCATTCTAGCCGAAATAAAACAAATAAGACTTTCTCCAGAAGAAAAAACATTATCAGACATACTGTGAACATTTCCTTGCTCTGTTAAACATCATTTGGGAAATATTTAAAAAGAAAAAAAAATCAAAGGGGGGCTTATACTTCTGACTTCAACTGAATATAGTTTACTACTTTATGTAAAATACACTAACAAGTTTTTTTTAGAATTATTATAGTCCCAAAAGTCAGTTATTTAAAGTCTTTAAAGTCATGATGTAAGCAAGAGTCTTGCACCTGCAGCCCAAGCCACAACTTTATCAAATTTGCATGTCACTAGACCGAAACATTAACAATAACACAACACTCTCTCGCAGGCTCCAAATGTATATGTAGTATCAAGCTCTAAACAAAACACGCGCCATTAAGCTCTTAAAACCTTTTCATTTGCAAATCGAGCCGGGGAGCCTGGGATTTCTCCCCCAAGTTGCAGGTACCAGGGGCAATTACCTGTACCAGTCTATGAATAGTTATTTCTAGCTTCCAGCAAATCGTGAGGTCCAGCCAACACAAAACACAACAAAAGCTAAAGAAAACCTAAAATGGTGGTTTGTGTGAAATTACATCACTTCTCTATTTTTGTGTGGTGAAAAATAACACGCAAATGGTGAGAACCTTCTACACGAGAGTTCAAAATGAGGTGTCAGATGGGCACGGCTTGAACTGTGTTCGAGGAAAAACGAAAATGAATACCAATGCATGTTGTGACTTTTTTTATTCGTTCCCTTGCACCGACCAATTGCTATGATTCAGTAGTTTAATTTAGAAGTACAGTATGTTATTTGGGCTCGGAGAATGTTGACAAGGCCTAAGAATGTCAGCATAGGGTGTAGTTTTATTGTGTTGTACAGCTAGTTCTCCCCTTAGGGCTGCATGGATCACACATTAATATGTCGGTTTCTAATTGTGCTCTGATCATGCATTTCGATGGTTTCCGACACACCTCTCGCATTCCACCTGTACAGGTAAACTTTTCAAAGAAAAGTTTGTTTATTGGCATCAATGCTTCCACGAAAAAACCTTTAACGTGCTTGGGATTTTTTTGATGACATAATAGCTTAGGTATAGTGGAAGAGAATTCTTTAGATGTTTTTTTACCCATAGCATCACTACATCCGCAACTTAACAGCTTCATTTTTAATAATGTGGAAAATTTTGACGCACCAAAAAAAAAAAAAGTAAAATAAAGTAACGCATTACTTTTAAAAATTAGGTAATATTATTTGAGTTACTTTTCAGAAAACGTAATGCTAGTTACTGTCAGTGTAATTGATTAGCTTTCAAAAAACGAATTGCTGAATTAAAGTTAAAGTAGTCACAATCAATCCGGCAGTCAGTGAGAGAATGTGTTCAGTATTTTAAACGCATTGAAGAAAGTGAAAAGGGGATTATTGTCTCATTAGACAGTGATTTTACTTAAGACAAATAGTAAAAAGTAGCAAACACGTTACTTTAAACTTTCCATAATCTGTACACAGTATGGCATGTATAGCCCTGTGGTCAGAAAGTTTTCAGAAAACATTATCCTAAAATAAAATAATGTGTTTTTTAAAGGTAAATGAAGGTTATACCGTGCTGTTAATTGAAGAGCTTCTCTATTAAAAAAAGAAAGAAAGAAAAAAAAACCTCAGCCTGGTCAGAAAAAGTAACTCAAAAGTAACGTAACGCAGTACCTTACTATGAAAAGTTACTTGCTTTTACTTGCTTTTAAACCTTTCAGGCTCAAATTAAATTTTAGAAACAGGCAAAATCTGCTTTTAACTGTTGCAAATCAGCAACGCCTGCCTTGAGAGGGTAAAGTTGCTTTTTTTAGGTGAGTAACTCATTATTATACTTTCAAAAGTAACTTTTCCCAATATACAGTATGAAGAGTTCAGATGCAAAAACCTTCTAAAATTAGCATTTTTCTCAGACGTCTATGTCTTGATTCAGTAATTTCACTTTTATGTCAAAAATAGGTTATTTTCAGCTATATTAACATGAAATAACTAAACATAAACATAAGAGGCAGGGAAGATCAGGGGTCAGAAACCTTTTTTCAAGAAAGAGCCATTTCTGATTTTTTTAGCAAATACCTTTTTTTAAAGAGCCATTTGGATTTACATTTATCTCAAAATGCCTCTTTTAAAAATGCTTTTGCTAATGTATTACTACTATAAATAATACAGGGTTAAACAAAACCTTAATTTAAGCATCACATGTTGAGCAAGTGCTTAAATGAAGAAAGAACATCCTTTTATTAACAATTCTTATTTATTTTGCTGTAAAAAATTACAGTAAAGAGGGAATTATAATTGTATTTCCGATAGGAAGTTTTCTAATGACGGTTATAATTTTTTAAACGGTAAAATATTATTATATGAAGACAGCTGGTGAGCCACATATTTTTGGTCAAAGAGCCACATGTGGCTCGAGAGCCTTAGATTCTCTACCACTCTGAATATCTATATATAGGATGTCATAGAAGCACCATTTGTGGTTCCCGAATGAATCTTTTTTTAAACTGTTATTAAAAGAACCCTTTTTAGTAGAATGGTACTGTAAATTTAACCTTTTTATTTATTACAAACTGAACAAACAGGTTGTGTAAAGTTGAATAGTTTTTAGTTATCATCGATGGATCTGAAGAATCTCACGGCAATTCGTTTTTGATTTAGTGGCTAATTTGTATGAATTCGTACGATCAAATTCGTACAGTTTAGTACGATTTGCTCATCACCCAATGACGGTTGGGGTTAGGGGTGGGGTTGCGTGCCATGCCTCCTTTTTAAAATCGTACATTTTCGTACAACTGAACTCGTAATTCATACGAATTAGCCAGTAAACTGACAAAGCGTAAAATACTTACGTTTCTTCGTGAGATTTGGCTGGAAGAACATTTAAAATCCATGAGGAAAAAAAACTCTTAAAAGAAATATTTTTAAGAGCGTTTCAATAAATGGTTCCAGGGGAACCAAAATCATTCATATATATAATCAATATGGGTGACAAATGCATTGATTTAAAATAATACTTCATGGAAAGCATCTTTGAGGAACCAAATTTGTGGTTCTATGGCTTTACTGTAAAACCTTCAATTAGAAGTTTTATTTGTAAGACCAAGACACAAATAGTTCTTTCAGATAGAATAAAGTTCTGAAGATTGTATAATAATATTATATAAGAGAATAATATTACTTTTCTAAGTACCAAGGAAAACATTACTTCAAAAAAATAAGTATTATTATTCAAGTGACTTTTTTGAAAATGTAATGTGAGTTACTTTTGAGTTTAAATAATTACTTTAAAAAAAATAAATTGCTGAATTAACATTAGTCACAATGAATCACACAGTCAATGAGAGAATGTGTTCATTATTTTGAATGTGTTAAAGAAAAAGAAAAGGTGATTATTGTCTCAAACGACAACTGTTAAAATGTGAAAATAAAAACCTTTTATTTATAAACTACTGAAAGATTCTTTGGGGAACAAACAAAGTATGGTTCTTTTATGCATCATCACAGCTGATTTTGAGAACCATTGAATTTGCACAAAAACTCTTTCAGATTGCTAAAATGACCTTCACAGTT